GAGGCGCCTTCGCACAGCCGGCAGCCCAGGCCCCAACCGAGCTAGAAAAGGAAAAGGGGAACAGCTTCCATGGACCGAGGCCAGATGCGAGGGGGACCCCGAGGGGAGCAGCGGGCTTTCCAGGAGGAGGGCAGCGCCGCCCGGCCCTGCCCTTGGGAGCACCCACTCCCCGCAGGGAGGTCGCTCCAGGGGTCTGGACACCCGTGGACCACCAGCCCACCGCCTTCCGCCCTGCGAACCCCACGTGATGAGTGCTGGACATTTCTGTGCAACCAGCGCAACCCCAGATCAAGACCAGACAGACATCACAGGAAAGTAAAACTACAGAGCAACAGCCCCAGGAATGAGTAGGCAAACCTATTTTTCAATCTTCACCCTTGGATATATATTTTTATTGACTTTTGAGAGAGAGAGAAACATCAAAGTGCAATCGTTTGCCTCCTGTCTGCGCCCCAACAGGGGGTGGAACCTGCAGCCTTTTGGTGTATGGGATGACACTCCAACCAACTGAGCCACCTGGCCAGGGCTAGCACTCAAAATTTTTTAACAAAATCGTAGCCAACTGAACCCAAACAAGATTAACACGAAGAAATAACACGTCACGTCCATGTGCAGGTTATGATGCAAGCTTTGTGTACATTTAAGAGTCAACCAAATGGAAATCTCGGTATTAGCAGACCAAAAAGAAGAGGCATGCAATTACCCCAAAAATGCAAAAAAAAACCCAAAACCATGTTTGACCAATCCAACATCCATTAATGCTAGAAACTCTGCCAACCAAAGGCACATGGGAAAAATAACTACAAGCTAATGTCATACTTAGTGGTAAAGAGCAAATGTCCCCCCCAGATGAGGGAAAAAGCCAAGATGCCCACAGTCACCATGTCTGCTCAGCATTGTACGGACGGTCCACTACGCACAACAACGCAGGGAGGAGACAGGCTTTCAGGTGGAAGGGAAGTGCACGCCAGCCTTTACCTGCGGACTGCCGGCTCATCTGTGCAGGAAGCCTCTGGGAGCTATAAGAGCTGCTACACGAGTTCAGCAAGGTCGCAGAATATGAGGTCATGCAGGTGTCCACTGTGTTCCTGTATGCCAGCAATGCACATGTGTGCACTGAAATTAAAATGCAACACCATTGCAATCCCTCAAAAATACACGTAGGTGGGAATTTAACAGAAGTTTAACAGGTATAGGACGTGTGTGTTGGATATCACACAGCACTTTCACTGCGCTAAAAGTCCTCAGTGCTCCACTTGTTCATCCCTTCCCCCAACCCCTGACCATCAGGGATCTGTCTGCTGTCTCCATAGCTTTGTTTTTCCCAGAATGTCATATAGTTGGAGTCACACAGTGTATAGCTTTTCAGATGGGCTTCTTTCACTTAGTCATATGCCTGTGAGGTTCCTCCACATCTTTCTATGACTTGACAGCTGATTTCTTTTTATTGCTGAGTAATATTCCACTGTCTGGATGGACCACAGTTGACTTGGCCATCCACCTGCTGAAGGATGTCTTGGTGGCTTCCAAGTGTGGGTGATTGTAAATAAAACTATAAACATCCATGTGCAGGTTTTTGTGGGGACACCAGCTTTCAGCTCCTTTGGGTAAACACCAGGGAGCATGACAGCTGGATTCTACGAGTATTTAGTTTTGTGAGAAACCACCAAGCTGTCTTCCAAAGTGGCTGCACCATCTGCGTTCCCACCAGCAGTGACCGAGCCTTCCCGCTGCTCCGCGGCCTCGCCAGCACTTGGTGTTGTCAGCGCTCTGGATTGTGGCCATTCTGATAGGTATGCCTCACGGCCTTATGTAGACCCAATTACAGAGCTGGCTAGGTGTAACACCACACAGGGCCAGGCATGTCTTCAGGACGAGGTATATGCTCTAAGTTAGCAACCAGTATATGGTGCTCTGGCTCCAAAGCCAAGATTCAGGGACCTGGGAATTGAGGGGTGTTGGGGTGGCTCCTATCACTATTACCCCTGCTGATTCACTAGCAAAATCTGTGCTTTCTGTTCCTGCAAGTTTAGGTTCTAGAGGGTTCATTCCAATGGGAGGAGTGCTTCCTCAAGGGCAAAGATGGGAGATTGTGCCGGCTTGGGGAAGGGAAGGCCTGACGGTAAGGGGGTGGGGTTGCCACTTCCCAGGCAGAGCAGGTCCAGGTGCAGAGAACTGGCCTGCTCTTGAGCACTCACATCCTGTGATTACAGTTGGTGGAGAGCGACAATGATGTAATTCAGGCAGGACCTCCCACAGTGGAGACCAGTCAGGAAGGAATCTGTGGGTCTCTCACCAGGCTGTGGAGCAGCCGAGGGAGCACTGGCCACAGGACCAGCTGCAGAAATAAGAACTGTCATAGCTCTAAGTGTCTCTTCTGACTTTGACACGAACATGCTTGCGTTTTTGTAACCACTTACTTTGGCTTCCCTTTCCTCTTGTCATCTAACATAAGAGGCGTCAAGAGCAGCTGGCCTTTTTCCCAGAGTTTGCAGGGTGGGGCAGCTGCATGGTTTCTGGATGGTGTGTCATGTGAGGTGGGAGATGACTTTGTTACTGTCTTTGTTTGGAAATTATGGCTCAGAGGGCACCGGGGCCACCATCCGGGGCCCAGTGGCTGTGTCACAGCTGGGTCACTGTTCTCAGAATCCTGCATCTTCCAGGCTAAGGTGATCACTGAGACTTGCTGCCTTAGATGCGGAGGCCAGAAGAGAATAGGAGATGCTTGGCTGGTTAGTCCCTGAGGGCTGAGGTGGGTCACGCCCATAGTGACTCACCTGGGTGGAGCAGATCCCCTTTCAGCCCTCAATTCTGGGCCAGGTGTAGGTCTGCCATCCTGACCGTGAGCGCCTTCGAGGTGGGAGGCAGAGTGCTTGCCTTATCCCGCACGTCCCGTGAGGGGATCCTGAGGCTGGCGGCTTCTGTGTGGCGCCTTTCCCTTGGAGTATGCATCTGAGACTTGCCCTCTCCGCACCTGCTCCTTTCTGTCCCTGGGCCATAGTACCCTCCTCTTCATTGGTCCAAGAGTATTTGGGTGGGTACCCGTTTGGGCAATTTTGAATAAATCATGATAAATATTTGCTTACGAACTTGTCAACGAGAGTCTTGGTTTAGAGCAGTTTTTCAACCTTTTAAAAATTACTCCTCCCTAACGAGCCTCTTTAAGCGATTTTCCTTAACTGCCCTCTCCCCTCGAGACATCACACCACAGAGGTTCTGTGCATCTGCATGCTGGGCCCTTTGGGGGCCTGGCCGGGGCAATACCTATGATCTGGGCTAGTACTGCCCACCGATCGTGGATGGAGACTGCTGGGTTGCATGGCATCTCACCTGACAAGTCACTGAAAGGACACTGGTAGCTGCCTACAGGTGTGGTCCAGACTGAGTCCTCGCCGCCACTTGTGATGGTCAGTTTTCTGGCACACAGTGGGTGACACTGTGGTGGTCCCCATTATGGCTTAATTTCTCCTGTTTTTCACTAACACCCCTGATTTCTTCCCTTGCAGGAGGGGTGGCTATGTGACACAGCCTGGCCGACCTGAAGTTTTAGACCAAGGGTGGGGAACATTTTTTCGAATGAATAACATCATTCGAGGGCCATACTAAATGATAAACTTAAAAATTAGCCTGTTAGCCTGGCCGGCATGGCTCAGCAGTTGAGCATTGACCTATGATTCAGGAGATCGAGGTTCGATTCCCAGTCAGGGCACATGCCCAGGTTTCAGGCTTAATCCTCAGTGGGGGGCGTGCAGGAGGCAGTGGGGGCGTGCAGGAGACAGCCGATCAGTGACCCTCATCATTGATGTTTCTATCTCTCTCTCCCTCTTTGTCTCTATGAAATCAATAGACATATTTTTAAAAAAATTAGCCTGCTATATTTGCTCGAACATTTAACTCACCTCTAATGTGATGACTGGAACTGTGGTTGCCGTGGCAGGGCCAGACCAAATGATTTTGAGGGCGGCATACGGGCTGGACGTTCCCCACCCATTTTAGACAGAGGAACAGATGTGGCAGGCGTGCCCTGCAGGCTGTCTGTTCTGGCTCAGGCCCCTAAGAGCACGGCCATAGCGCAGTCCCCGCTGTGAGCTGTGTCCCCTACGCAGGCATCCTGTCCGCCTGTCCCTGTGCTGTTGTGGTAGGAGATGGGAGGAGTGGAGGCCCCAGCACCTCGAGCTTTCTGGTGGAACAGCCTCCTTCATAGCAGCCTAAGTGGCTGAAGCACGGGGACCAGGAGTGACAGGGAGTAGCAGCCCCCCGGGGCTTCCCCAACAAGCAGACACAGCTGCTGGGGCCTGGGCTCTTCACCAGTCAGTTTCCCAGAGAGCCAGTTTCCGAACAGCACCAGTACCTGTCTGATGCAGTGGGATCACAGCTGGAGGACAGCCAGGGTGTCCGACGGCAGGATGCTGGAGGGTGTAGCAGAGTGTCTACAAGACTGGCTTCCGGCTGAATGCAGGAGACCAACTGTGGGAGGAGTCACGCAGGACTGGGGACTTCTTGGTGTTCGGGAAAGTGCCCTGACAGCCAGAATCCGGCTTTACCACTTGGCAGAAACTCAGCTACTAGGGGTCTTCTCCAAGGTCAGGGCTTGCCCCTTAGGGTTACCCTCGTGGGCCTTGGTGAGTTGTCTGGCAATTTCCTGGGACAGTGATCTGTGGGCGGTGGGGACTGCCCCATGACGGGGTCCCCTTGTGGAACCCCACCCCCCACACTGCATTCGGGTTCAGGGCACCCCACCAGTTTGCTGTGCACTCAGCTGGGAAGTGGTCCTGACTCTTCACCCAATGGGGCTGCCAGCCCTGCCCGAGGAAACCCCTCAGTGTCTCTGCTCACAGAAGGTTGTGGACGCCCAAGGTTGTGGAGAAGCTAAATTCTAGCACAAGGGTCATCAGACTAAGGTCAACTATGTGTAGCTGTCCATTAGCTGAGGTTCAAGGGCACGGCCTCATTTGTAGCTGTCCCATCACCTGTTATCCTCTGACCACGCACCTGCTGGGTTTTCCCAGGGCCGCCTCAGGCTCCTGCCCTGACAGTCCAAGACCCGCACACACAGCTGCGGGTGAGTTCACCCAGCTCAAGGTCGACATTTGCTGCACGACAGCGAGTTCTCTGAGGCCGGTGCCTCTGGCCACCAGCTGGTCACAAAGTGGGCTTGCTCCCGAGCTCGAGGCAGCATCTGCAGGCCAAAGGGTACCCCCCTTATGCCACATTAACTGGCAAGAAATGGGTGGCCAAGGCGTCTCCGTCCAGCCCCAACTTTCCAAAGCGGAGAGGACACGGTCACAGCCAGAAAGCCTCTGTAGATGTTTATTCTACTTCAAGTAACAAAACCTACAAAGTTCCATGTTTTAATGGACAGTGATATGATACTTTGCAATATAAAATACAATTTACAGAAAATTCTATCAAGTAAACCTAAAGAAACACACTTGATTTTTACATTTGTGTATTTAAATTAGAAAAACTTGTTTTATATGTAAAAAGCCTTCACATCATACTGGATGTTGGAACTCGACACCACTTTAATGGAACTCAACCTACAGACACTGGTTTATTGCACCAGTCCTCCCAGACCACTGGTCCTCGACGGCTCCCAGCTTGGCCGCGTGGGCGAGAAGTCCGCAGCAATGCACACTGAACAACAGACTCCAAAGAACAAAGGAGACGCTCTAATTTTACATTTGCAAAAGTAAGTTTATGAAAATATAAAAAAATTATCAAAGTGTATTTGTACAGTCAAATAAATTAGCAAGGTTTTCTCTCACACTTCAGAACTTGAAAAATACATGGCGAGAAGCAGTGTGCTGTGTCTCACAGTGAAAGCTTTCTAGTTCGTAGTTCCTGAACTAATATCACTATTGTCCTCAGACTTTATACAAATATTGTTCCGTTTTCAAAGACAAACTTTAAAATTTACCCCCTGACAAATAAAACGGTTTAGAGTGAGTGCACTTTTCCTGGGATGTAAGAAGAACTGTGCAGAAGGTGAAGTTCAACAAAAAAAATGTTCCTGATTATTGAAATCAAAGAAACCCTCCCCCTTTTAAAGTACACTTAATTGGTTTATTTTCTTACCTTTGGGCTGGTAAAAATTGAAACCTTTTTCAATAAATTGTTATTTAAAATGCAACAATTTGTACTCAGACAGATGTCGCTTTTAATCATGTTTTCGGGGGAAAAAAGTATAAGGTGATATATTAAAAAATTTGAGCAAAACTAAAAAACGTGTTGTTTCCTGGTTCAGGTTTGTAATTCAAATTTCTCTGGGAAAACAGGAAAACACATTAGCAAGTTTTATGTTTCTCAACTCCAGAGGGCTGGTTCCAGGGCTCCAGTGTGCACTCCGGGCATCACCTGTGACAGCACACCACCCTGGGAGAGCCGGGAAACCTAGAAATACAGATGAGATGTCAGCAAGGGTATGGCTCTAAGGTCCACAGAAATCCCCTTAAAATTTACCATAGTCAAGTTATTGGAAAAGATAACTTTATAATCTGAAAAAGCAATATGCTTTTGTAGACTTTCCCATTTCAGTAATTCTAAATGGAAATATTGAGTTCTTAGTTTTCTTAAAAAAAGCATCAGAATTGTAAAGATGTGAAATTTTGTAAGAAACCATTATACACAAAATTACAGTAATTTTTGAAGTCCAGAATATTCTATTCTTCATCTAAGTTCATAGCTATTTCAAAAACGATTTGTTCAATACATTTTATGAACTTGGCTTTTAAAAGGAAGGTGCCAAACTGAGATCAGGCCTAGGTATGGGCAGCGGGGTCGGTGGCCCTCGGGGCTGGGGCCTCGGACTTTGGGTCCCGAGTGCTCTCCTTGCTTTTGCTGCGGTCCTTGCGGTCTCGGCCTCGCTCTCGCTCCCGAGCCTTGTCACGGTCCCGGTCTCTACTGCGAGACCTGTCACGGTCCCGCCTCCGGTCCCTGTCCCTGTCCCTGTTCCGGCTCCGCTCCCGGTTCCGGTCCCACTCCCGCTCTCGGTCCCTGTTTGCATTACGCTCTCGGCAGGAATCCTTCTCTCGGTGTCTGTCCCACTCCCGGCCCCGGTCCCAGTCCCGCTCCCGGCTCCAGTTCCTGCTGCGCTCTCGCTCCCAGGGCTTCCCATGTTCCCGCTCTCGCCTGCGGTCCTCGAAGGTGCGGCCCTGCCGGCTCTCGGGCTGGGCCTCAGGCTCATCCAGCGGCTTCTCTTTGGGACATGTCTGGTTTCTGTACTCTGGGCCTTTGGATGGGGCCCACTGCGCCTCAGCCTCAGGGGCTGGTCCAGGAGCCCCAGAAGGCAGGTTGGGTGCTGGGCTGGCCTCGTCCCACCGGTCCTTGCGGTGCTGGGGTGGGTGGCTAGGCAGCTCCAGCAAGGGCCTGGGCACCGGCTTCATCACCTGAGGCGCCTGGCCCTGGAAGTGGAACCGGGGAGGGGGGGGCTCACTTTTGTCAGGAAAAGGCACAGACCCCCTTGGCCCACCAAACTGAAGGGGTGTTGGGGCCCTCTGATTCGAAAATCTGGGTGGTGAGTTCACTCTTTGCTCTTCAAACTGCTGAGGCTGAATTCCCCTGGGTCCTGGCATGAAATTTGGTGCCTGGCCTCTCGGCCCATCAAACTGATTGGGATGGGGACCCCGGGTGGTTTCAAACTGACTAGGATGCGGCCCTCTTGGGCCCACAAAATGGCCAGGGGGTGGTCCTCTCTGACCCCCAAACTGAGAGGGAGGAGGGCCTCCCCGGGGCCCTTTAAATGGGGCCAGCAGAGGCCTCCGCGGGCCTCCAAACTGGAAGGGGCCTGCGCCTCTGCTTCCCATCGATGGGCCTTGTTCCGGCCCTTCAAACTGGGCAGGAGGCCCACCCATGTCATTGTGTGGGGTGTCCTGGAATTCCCTCTTTTCCCCATGCGGATCCTTGCGTTCTTCAAACTGAGGTTGTGCTGCTCCTCTGGGCCCACCAGGGTGAGAGGGTGAGGGGCCCCTGCTGTCCCCGTAGGGAGGTGGCCCATGTGGCCCTGAGAATAAAGAAGGGATGGGCCCCTTCTGGGCCCCGAATCTGGCCGGTGGAGGCCCTCTTGGCCCATCACTGTTAGAAATGATACAGTCTTCTGAAAATGGAGGTGCTGGCCCCCGTGGTCCTGGGAAACTGGGGCCATGAAGTCCTGATGTTCCGAAAGAGCGGGGTGTGGGCTCACGCTGGCCCTGGAATGGGGGAAGAGGGGGCCCTTTCTGTCCAGGTGGGGGGAACAGGGTGGCCCCCTCGCCAGCTCTGCACTGTGGGTCTCTGCTCTCTTCAGTTTCAACAGCCGAACGGTCACTTTTTTCAGCAAACAGGGCATTTCTCGGATCATCGTATGGGGATGAGCCGAAGGATTTGTCCTGAGATGCAAACGCTGGGCTTGAAAAAGGGTCCCTTCCTGCGGGAGCACTGAAATTCTGCCCTTCGCCCGGCACAGGGAAGTTGGGCGGAAAGGCAGTGCTGGGTGGTGTGGGCAGCAGCACCTTTCGGGTGGGCCGGGCCTGGCCAGGGCCACCTACCAGGGGAGGGCCGCTGTCAGTAGGCAGTGGGCACTGGCTCTCTGAGGGCTCACTAGTGGGGCCATCCTGCTTGGCTGGCAGGGTGGCCTTCTCACTGGGAGCCCAGGGTGGAGGGGTCGACTCCTTTTCCTCCAGGGCGGGTGCAGGCCCCTGACTAGTAGCAGCCCCACTAGGTGCTTCTCTGGTGGGCAGGGCCCCCTGTGCGCTGCTGGCCGGGGCCCTGGAGAAGCTCTCGCTCTCACCACTCTCCGCGGCTAGCCGCCGGGCCTGCCGGGGGTCCCGACTCTGTCGTGGGTCAGAGCCAGGGCCTGGCCCCTGACTGGGGGGGGGCATGGCTGGCCTGTTGGCAGCTTGCTGCTCTTGCGGGAACAGCTCGGTCTTGGGCAGTGAAGACTTTGGAGGTGGCGACATCAGCGCGTCGGACACCGAGAAGTGTGCCATGGAGACCCCCACGGCAGCCCGCTGCTGCCTGAGAGCCTCTTCCTGCTCCTGCACTTGTCTCTTCTGCTCCTCGATCTGCTTGTTGAGCTCCTCTATCATCTTCTGCTGCTCAGCCAGAGAGGGAACAGAGATGTCGGCAGCAAACCCGGCCGGCCTCTCCATGGAACTCCCTTTAACATCTGCACACATCCTATTGGGCAGGTCGTCGATGGTCACTTTGGCTTCTTCTAAGATCGTCTCGTCTTCTGGGTCATAGGCCACCTCCTCCCGCTCGTTGGTCTCAGAGGCCTTTTCCACATCATGCCGCTTTCCTCGGCCCGCGAGCTGTGTCTCGAAGGCCCTGTCAGGACCATACTCTTCTTCAGGGTCATAGGGTCTGTCGTCTTCCTCTTCCTCCAGAACTTTCTCTTTGGAGAGCTGACCAAACTGCTGGACAATAGGATCCAGCAGAGGCGCTGCCGGCAGCCTGCCCTCAGCCTTGGTGTCTGGGCAGGAGGCAGAGGCAGAGGCAGAGGCAGAGGGAGAGGGAGAGGGAGAGGCAGAGGCAGGCTCCACGGGCTCCACGGCTGGGGGGTCAAAGGACCTCTTCTTTCCAAACAGCGTCTGCAGGATGTGCTCCAGTGGCGAAGCTGACTTCGAGGCAGAGGAGGAAGTGACTGCTGTTGGTGCTGTTGGTGCCGTGAAGGTGCTGGTGGCTCCAGGCTTGAGTGATGACAGTATCTTTAGCACTGATGATGAAGCTGGTGGTTCTGGCAGAGGGGGTGGGGGTGGAGGAGACCCCGGCGGTGTGGTGCTGACGGCCGTGTCCCCAGAACTGAGCTGATACTTGGGGAGTCTCTTCTCAGCCTGCGAGGCCTGAGGCACTTTGGGATAAGGCAGCACATCCATTTCCTCTGGTGCCTGCAGCCGGGTCCGCTTCTCCTCTATCTTGTCTAATTCTCCAGCATTTGAAGGACGCTTTATTTTTTGACAGATGACTAGCCCAAGGATTATGTTTGGACGCGGTGACTCGAGACCTAAAAAACAAAACATTTGTGCAAATTTTAGAATCTAAATTCTGCTCTGTCCTTCAGAGGTGAACTTTATTACATGTGGTAGTGGGGAATGTTTTCATAGGCAGGAGGCAGGAATTCTGGGCAAGATAAAATCAGGTGTTTGAAGAACTTGCTGCAAAAGACAGAGAACTCGCGGGTGAGCTGTCTACGGGGGAGCACTTTACCCCTCCGTCTCAAACCCCAAACCAAGGGCCCACTCACAAGTAAATTCACCCCAATTGTCAGAATTTACGTTACAGATTTAAAATTATTCGTAATACTCAAGCAACAGTGTAGCAGAGGAGATGGGGCGGCCTGTGCAGACATCACCATCATTAACCAACCACAATGAACGGGGTGTGAATGAACGAAGGTGGCTGCTGAACAAACCTTGGCTCTTGCTGTACACCAGGGAAGTACCAGCCCCTCTGGCCTTTAACTTAGGAGTTGCAATACTTACGTTAAGCTAAATACACTAATATTAAAAGTTGGACTAGGGACCAGTTCTATAACTCAATGATGGTCAATAAAATTACAGTGATCAATGCAGCTACTCCATTAATAAGGTCACCGGTGACCGGTGTAAAAATCACAATTAATGGGGAAAATGCTGCTGACCACAATGGCTAAAATAAATATTCTTTCAGGTTGAGATACTCCACAAGCATTAATTGATCAAGAGTTGCCAAGGGTCATGGTGGAGAAACAGGGACATCTGTAATATTTTAAACAAACTAATAATAATAATAACAAACACTCAGTAAGAATATAGTGGGGGGGGGGAGTTGCCGAATGCTCAGTCTTTGTGAACACAGGACGTGGTGCTTAAATAAAGCACTGAGGCATTCAGCAAACTAGCGGCAGAGCACACACCCCGGAGCGTTAGGGCACAGCAGTTGTTAAAACTCATTCCTTCTTAAGAAAGATTATTCCAAACACTGTAAGTTTTGGTACATTACTTCAGGAATGCTAATATTTTGGTAATGACGCCCCCCCAGTCAGAGTAAATCCTGACTACCACAGGAAAACAAGTCCAAGTCACAGAGCAGCAATTTAGGGAGAACCGCCACACAGAAAGTTTGTTTCATGATAGAAGATATTTAAAATTAATCAAAATGTACAAATCCAATTTATAGATAATTGTACTGTGGCATATAAATATTCATGTTACATTGTTACTAAAAAAAAAAATTATTTTTCCTATTGTGTAATTTTAAGTATGACTACAGATCATTATGTAGCTCTTAATCTTCCTAAATCCCAACAGATATGAGCTGACAGACTGAGCCCACAAGGACAGTGGAGGTCCCCTCTGGCCAGAGCAGACATGCCAGGGCTGGGTGACCAAGCACTGCTAGACTGGGAATAAATTGCCACCCTCCCTCCCAGTGTCCCAAGGGCCCTTTGCTGCTCAGGCTTCCCTGTGAGCTGAGGTGCCCACTGAAGACCTACACCTTAACTCCAGGATATCACCACCACCTTTGCGGGAAATGGCTTCCAGAACATCCTTTCCCTGCCCTGAGAACAGCTGTGTATCAGGGAAAATGAGCTGGGCAGAGGGAACAGGGGCTGGAAGGTCAGGCAGACTAGAGGATCAGATGAGAAGGGTAATTATCAAGTCTGCTTTATAATTAACATGAATTATGGTTGCTTTAATTTAAATAGTACTTCTCTCACTGTAGTAGCTATTTACTGAATGTTTCATAGCTTACTCAAACCCAGTTTTTGGGGTATGGTAGACTTAAAAAGGGCTATTTTGGCCTGTCTGGACCAGAGAATGATCGACAATGGCCCCAGAGCCTGCAGAGCAGGGTCCCATGAGGGGCACTCATGGAACCCACTAGGGGACAGCCCTGTAAGCTTCCTGTCTCTAAAGAACCTGACAGAGTAAAGGACTGTGCTTGACCCCGTGGGTGGTGGGTGTGGGCAAGGGCTGGGAGCCTCAGTGTGGGGCTGGGCCCCAGCACAGAGGGGCTATGTGACCTCACTGGGAACAGCACAACTTCTAAAGTGCCAACAGCAGGCTTGTGGCACCAATGAAGCTCCAGGTCAATAAGCTTTGTGATGGGAAGACACAGAGTCTCCGGCTCTGTGACGTGCACCACACCAACTAAGTCATCTAATGGCTTAATTTGCAAAGAAAATAATAAATCCCAGCCTCAGCAAAATTGTTTAGACTTCAACCTCTGTTGTCATACTCAAGGGTAATGTTATGGTTATATTAATATTTACATTTGAAGACGGGAAGCTACCTGGAGACGGGCATCTCAGCAGCAGATACTCTGCTCCCAGCCCTCTGCCACCTCGCCTGCACACACCTGTAAGCAATCTAACAGCTCCAGATTTGGGTGGGTGTTAGTTTTTAATTTCCCCACTAATCTTCCACAAGATGTTATATTTTAACTGAGCTCTCAAAATGTATACCCTCATTTTGAAGCCATCAAATCTTATCTGATTCAAATGTTCATGTTACGGCTGTATGAATGTTTGAAATGTAACTAGCACCTTGGAAATAACATTCATGGAACAAAAATTAAGTTCACTGATCTATGCTGGGCCTTAGGGGCAATCTTTACTGAGACAGGTGTCTGTAAGGGGAGGTCACCCACTGCTGGGAGGTGGCAAGCCAGCTTTCCCCCACCCCGAATGTTCCTCCAGGCCCAGGCCCCTCCCGCTCACCCCACTGTTGGAGAGGGGAGTGGGTGCTGAGAAGGTGCAGTGCAGGGACCACGCTGGCTGCAGTGAGGAGACCGAGGGCTCCAGCCCAGGGCACAGGGATCCATCTTGTTTGCAAAATTCCCGTCTCCATTGTTAGAAGCAGGATGCTCTTACCCACCTCCCTCTTGAGGGTTACTGAGGCTTAAGTTCCTAAATCAGACGAAAACAAACACTGGGGATTGGGGGCTTGCTTACTGGGCCATCTTGCATTTCCATACAAGGAGTCCTGGCAGCCGGGGACCCCTCTGCAGGGCCAGAACAAGCGTGACCTTAGGACTGTACTATGTGGATGGAAATAAGCTTGTTTAGCTCCACAGACCTGTCCCCCAAGTGGTCACAGGAGGGGCAGCCTCAGCTCAGTGTAACCATCAGACCACCCACCTGCACAGAGGAAACAGAGAAGCCCAGGGACATCTGAAGAGGTGAGTGCCACCTGACTTCCTGAGAACAGAACCAACCAGGATCTGTGTCCAGGTGTGTCAGCCACAGGATGGGAAGGGAGGTGAAGTGGCTGGGAAGGAAGCAGCCCTGGGGCCCCCCACACCTCCAACCCAACACATCACGGACGAAGTTTAGTTGTAATAACTGACTCAACCCCCAAACTATCAAAGTGTTGCTTTTTACCCCTAAATTTGTCTGGAACACACCCCTCTCCATTATTAAAAATGAAAATCCTCTCATGGTCTGAATTTGTCCCAACACAATTTCTCCACTTGCTGGACAGAAAAGGTATGGGAGTTACAAGGTGACAGTTCTTAGTGTGACTGGGTAGGAAAGACTAGGCACATACAGGGGTGGCAGGGTACCGGCCCAAGTCCACACGCACCCACACACACTCACGCACACGTAGAATTCATATGACCTGTACAAAGCCCCTGGGCTCAGCATGCCTCAAGGAGTGTCGTCCGTCGCCATCCAGGTGGCCCAAGCAGCTCGGCCTGTATGCCCTGGGCTTGACTGCGGGACCAGGTAAGTCATGTGGGCTTATAAAAAGCAAAGATGGGAACTCTGCTCTCCACCAGTGCACCTACGACAGGCACCAAGAACTACTACAGGGTTCAGATTCAAACAAACAATGACAAGTTTCCATAAAATACTTTTTATTGATTTCAAAGGAGAAACTAATACATTCAATACTACATTTGGCTTGGATCACAGTGCACGGCTAGATACACACACAGAAAAATGCTTACCTGACATTTAAGTCACAGAATTTCCCGCTAATTTAGAAAGCAGTGACACTATGGATGTGACTAAGAAAAGGCCCTCTCTGTGGAGCACCCAGCAGGCAGTCCTGCCCTCTGTCAGTGAATGCCTACAACAGGTTCCACGACAGCCACTGTGAATGGGGAACCTGAGCCCTGCCTGTAACTCAGGACATAGCGGGAGTCCCGGCCTAGGTCCAGTCCTGCTGGGGCCCCATGGGAAACCATGCAAGACAAGTGTCCAATGGATCAGTCCTCCTTCCACAAATAAGCCCCAAGATGTGCAGACCGCCTGACCTGTGTCCACAGTGGTGCAGCCATCAGGGACAGTGGCAGAGCTGAGGTAACGTCCACAGTGGACGATGCTCAGCTTGATCAGAGGGACCCAAGTTTCCCAGCTGTCCTCTGAAATAATGCTGCCACATTATGAAAACGCCAGTGTCACACAAGACCACCTGGCATTTCTGCAGACAAGTCAAAAGTATGCAAGGACAAAAGCATCCTGTAACCTGAGCAGGCTGTGTTCTGAAATGCTCATGGGCCTGGGTGGGTGGCTGAGACGGGGCTGTGGGCACAGCTCCCGTGTCTGCTGTCCAGAGTATGGCTGAGACGTGAAGTCCTGACCACGTGAAAGTGGCCAGTACAGGCTCACCGGGTCAGAACTCAGTGTTGGCGCCATCACAGTCTTCACTTGCTTCTCAAGTGTAGACAGCAAGAGCTCAGTCAATCTACTGGGCTCCTGACGTCAGGGGGATGGAGGACACCTGCACTCTCCTATCTGTGGTGTGTTTGAGTCAGTTCCTCTCTGTAATGACCTCTCCACCCCCACAGAGGGGGGCCCCACCAAGGCCTGTGCTTCACGCCCTAAAGAGAGCTGAGAGGGACAGAGTGCAAGACCTTGGGACAGCCACCCTGGCTTGACATTTGCTGGGTGTGACCTCAGGTGAGTGACAACTTTGACAGCACAGGGCTTCAGTGGGGTTAAGGGTGCTTCCTTCAGGCCATGGGGCCAGTGCTTGCCAGGTGGCACATGTTCACACCTGCTGGCTGCTCTGCTGAGGATGTCCCCACCATCCTGAGACTGGGCCTGTGCCTTCAAAGGATGCTGTGCAGGCTAGCTGGGTGAGGACAGGAACCACCAAGATAGGAGAAACATCCCCACCCAGCCTTCCAACTGCAAGTGCACATACATACGCACCCACACCCACACACATTGGTGACACATACTTGAAACCAGGACACATGGACACTGCATCTGGAGTGTGCCAAGTCACACTATAAGCACGTGAAGCAGGCAGGTAGAGACCCTGCCTGGAGTCAGGGTTTTAGGTGATGTGAATTTATAAAATATATACATGGATATTAATGTATAGACCAGACAATGATATCAGAATAAAAAATAACATACTAATTTAAACAGGCTTGCATTTAGATGCCCTTAAATCTTTAAGAGCTTATGGGCAATAAATGATTGATTAGTTTCTAAAAGCCTTGTCACTACTTATTCTTTATTGTGGATGAAAAGCTGAGGGTTTTTTGGGTGTCCCTTTAGGGAGTGTCTGAGCCCCAGGAGTATGAGGTCCACTCAGCTCATCCCCAGTGTGTCTGGTGGTCAGCGCCCCCACCCAGTGCAGCGCTCTCCTCTCCCTCTGCCAGGTGGGCGTCACCCAGGCTCCTCTAACAAGTGAGTCTGCAGATGGGGCAGCAGGAGCACAAAGCAGGCTGACAGCACATAATGCTGTTTAAAGAGATTTAGACCCGGGACCTGCTAACCCACATCTCTGTAAACAAAAAGGGATCTATGCTTGGAGGACTATCCGTATTACCCAATCTCGTGCTCAATGGACCCTGCACAGCGTCGCACTCGTGACTGACCGGAGGCTTCTCACAGGTGTCTGAGAAGTCAGCTTCTTCCTCTCACCTTCAGGGACTGAGGACGATTCCCTTCATGGCCATCAGGGAGCTTGCCAGCTGCTTCATAGAGCTGCTCATCAAGAACTTCCACCCATCAGGTGGCATTTCTTTGTATGAAAGGGCACCCTGAAGTACCTGGCTTTTAAAATGCATTTGGCATGAAGATAGCTCAAGGTACTGTACCAGTAAATACTGAACCCGGGATCACTGACACCAGCAACCCCTCTGTGGGCACAATTCTGAAGTCAGGGCATACCGAGCCACCTTGTTTTACCCACGTGCTCCAGCCAGGACTGGGCGCACCTGTGGGCGTGGAAGCAGCAGCCAGGGGGCACAGCTAGTGTAGGTGCGGTGTGAGTGCAGCATACGGCTGCTATGGCAGCGCCTGCAAAGGCCTGGTTGACAGGGCGAAGGGACAGAGGTGCCAAGATCTAGGCAGCCAACGCCTCTAGAACAAAGCCCTTTAAAGAGCATTCGCCACATGTTAGTCTCGTCATCTTCTTGGCACTGTTAATCCTTGGGGACTTCACGGCCAAAGAGACGCATCAATTTAGGCACCTTTTGCCAGCTTCTTCTCAGGGTACAAAGAGCTGAACCCTCACAGACCATGTCCCCTTGGAATCACCCTCCGCCCCTTAACAAGTCTTAACATTTGAAAAAGTTAATTTGTAAATAATCCTTTAAAAATAGCACTTTATAAGGAAGGAGCAAACAAAGTATTTTGCAAAAGATAAAAGAACTTATTAAAATTTGAGCAGATTTAAAAGTAATTATTTCTAGAAATGATTCTCCTTCACAATCATATCTTGTGTATCCTGGAAATGACTCCCTGACAGAGGAGAGAGCCTCTGAGTGGCACCTGTTCACCGCCTGAACCAGTGTCCACAGAAACCCCATGGGAGGCGGAAGAGACCAGCGCCGTGAAGTATTGCCTCTCCCTCCACCTCTCCTCCCAGCTCCTGGGCACCTGATCTGTCACTGAACAAGGCCGCGAAAGTGAAAGGTTGGTGGGATGCTGTGGGCTTTTCCCTTCATAAAACTTTCCTAAGACAATTTGTGCCAATAAGGATACTTCTAGTGCTGCCCCCAATAGCCTAGAGCTGTGTTCTCTAGCTAAATGTTGTTTCAAGTGACTACTAGTTCCTGCTCCTACAGAGTGTGTGGGGAGGCGGTGTGACCACCTGTGAAAGCTCAGTAGGACTCAGTGTCAGGGGAAGGGGACATGTGTGATCAGAGGTGCTTACCTGGTCCCTCAAAGGGCAAGAGCTTGGACGGAACAGGGTCCTCAGCACTCAGCGGGATCAGGTAGAGGTCCTTGATGTGCCTGCTGTTGTTAGCGACGACACCAAAGCGGCCGCGGCTGCTAAAATAGGAGTAGAGAGAGATATAGGCCACCTCCTCCTCCTCTGTGGCGGGATGGAAGCGGATCAGGCACAGCTCCTGCAACACAAACAGGACAGGGGGCATTGGCCTGCAGTGCTCGAAAACAGCATTGGTCTGAAAGAGAGGGACGCGCAGTTCTGACTCTGATTTCAGTCCTGTTGTCCTGTTAGTGATAGAGCAGCTTCTGGGCTTACAGCCTCAGGTCCTTGAAATAGCACCCACCTGTGGAGTTCTCGTACCACCCACGAGACAATCCACGTGCAGGGCTAATGAGCTACTGAAGCTGCCCATGCCTCTCCAACGTGTGGGCCAAGCTAGATCGGAGGGTCTCAACCCTGTGAACTGGAGAACACGACAGTCTCGACCCAAGAGCATTGTCCATGCAGACATGGCTGTGGCTAATCTCAGGGGTGCACAGCAAGCAAAGCCCATCAATGCCTCCATTAGCAAGGACAGCAGGAAAGAGGACAACTGCTCACTAGCAGTAGCCCTGCCATGTGCACACTGCACTGTGTCAGTCAGAATCTAAGCCCCGGCACATAGCACTTACACACACTCAGGCTTATCCAGCTCCAACCTTCATTTCAAACGTTCACCTGGAAATATCTAGGAAGCTATAGGCTGACATTTCACATGTATTAACCAGTCAGGATGAGAAGTGAGGGCAGAGCTGTGCTTAACCAGCACCTTCCTCCTTGGTGCAGATAGTGAGCAGTACCTTGGACACAGAGGATTTGAGTTTGCCGATATAATCCCACACCGTCCTTGGCGCGATCCGTCCACCGATATGAATCGTGTCAGGCAGGTCCTAAACAAAATGCACTTTGCTTAAGTGACAGTAAGACCAGCATTCAGAGACTGATGCAGTCATTTCATGGTACCAAGCTAGCAAGTCAAGAAACCACAATTCCAAAGAAAAGGGTAACCCTGTACCAAATGCTGCAGGGTTACGAGTTACCAAACCCAGGTAGGGAGGGGGTGATGATAGCCTCGTGCCAAACACCCCCATGATCTTTGCAAAAGACTGCAGTACTGACGCAGTGTCTCCAGAAATGCCGCTTGGCCCTGGCTAAGGCCGTAGTGCTAGGGCTCTTTTCACTGTGTGCCACTGTGCACAAGGCAGGTCAAATACTCAGGGTAAATGCTCAAGGGGGGAGGAAGACCAGCTCAGCTTCTTTATAGAAGCCAGGAGGCCCAATTTCTCTTTAGAATTTTCTGTCCAAACTGCTCAACCTGTGGACTTATCCCTGCTATGTCCATCAGTCCCCATTGTAACTTCAGAGGTGCTCACACACCCAGATGCTCTCAGATGCTCCGATGGCAGACTGTCCCAGAGGATCAGAGCTGCTGTGAGGGGGGTGCGCGCGCGCGCACACACACAGACACACACACACACACACAAACTCTCTCTCTCTCACTCAGCTCTAACCTCACTGAGGTAATCAAAACATCCAGAGACGGGGTAAGCCTTAGTGACAAACTTTGCTACACTCTGCATGTTAATAAATCCTTTCCAAATGGTGCTGACTCGAGACAGAAAGAGGGTTGTATCTCCTTCCGGAGGGGACCGAGATTCTGCAGTGCTGTAAAACAAAACCAGAGAAGAGAAGTAAAGCTTTCTTTGCACAAAGAATGTCCAAAGTGTTAAGACTTTACATATTTACAAAAGCAAAAGTGAGTTAGGGCAAGTTTCAGTAGCTTACTTTTTCAAATTAACTACTTTAATCATTATAAATAGACATTCTGGTCAAAGAAAAACAAATTGAATAGGCCATAAAACCAGATGCCATAAATTCAAATTTACGTTGTCAAGATTTATACTTCTATACTTCTAAATGGTGTTAGGTGCCCTAAATGTGGGCCATGTAAAACACTTTACACCCCCTCCAGAGTAACTGTGTGTTTCTGGGTAATTGCAGAGCTGAGCACTGAATCGCTCTTCCCGATCCTCCTGTTAATCTACAAGTAAAATACACATGGGGACCGCACCTGATACTTGGGGATGGTGGGACTGACAGCAAGTATCTGGGCTCAGGAGATGAGGATGGCTTGGCTAGTATGGACTTGGGCACTAGCACAGGGGTCACAGCAGGCTTTAGGTTGTCTTGTTGTGGCTCCACCAGTAGGGTGCTGTCTGGGACGGCTGCTGCGGGGGTCATGACTGTGCTTGCCACGCTCTGTGCGGTCCTGGGGTCTCGGCCAGACATGGTGACAGTGGTGAGCACCGGGCCCCCACAGGAGGCTGGGCAGGAAGGACCTTCCAGGGCGGAGGGCTCAATGTGGCCATCTCCTGGAGCCCCGGGAAAGTACTTCCTCTCCCAGGGAGTCTGGGACACGCTCTCTGGGTCTGGCTCAGAGGTGTTTTCGGGTGGAGTTTCTGGCACCACCTCATCCGCTGGGCTAAGAACTGGCTCAGAGGCAGAGCTGTCAGACTTGGACTTTGACTCTTCTTTCTTAGCAAGAGCTGACAATTTTTGTCTTTTCGGAGCTGGTTCATCTTCTGATGATGGAACCTGACCTGAAGCACACAGGAGAAAGGCCTTGGTGAGAGTCTTGACGCCCTTGAGGGCACAACCTGCCTGAGTAGACAGCCATTTTTCAAGGATAAAGGTGCTCTAAAGGCAGGAGCAGACTTCACAAGCTCCCAAAGACCATCCCCTGGCCATATCACTTTATTATTTTATTTTTAAAATATATCTTTATTGATTTCAGAGAGAAGAAGGGAGAGTGAGAGGGAGAGAGAGAAACATCAATAATGAGAGTCATTGATTAGCTGCCTCCTGCACGCCCCCACCAGGGATCAAGCCCGCAACCCGGGCAGGTGCCCTCTTGGATCTGCAATCTCTTGGATCCTAGGTCGATGCTCAACCGCTGAGCCACGGTGGCCAGGCCTGTGTCACTTTTTAAACTTGGGCCCAATGCAATTGCCATAGAAGGGTCAGTCACTTTAAACAAAAGCCTCCCCCACCTGCTCACCTGTACAAATCTTGCAGTTCAGATCAAAGAGGTGGGCACGGTGCTGGCCAGTTGTGTCCTTCAACATGCTGCTGAAGACATCCAGAGGGGGCACAGCACTTTTCTCAGGGACAGCGCGTACCGATTCCTGCTCCTGAGAGGAAACGAAGGGACACTGCGTGGGTCACTGCTTTCCAGTCGGAATCAAAATAGGAACCCAAGTACAAGCCCTGGAGACAAAGTGACTGCATAACCCTGGGAATCACAATGCTTACATCCGAGTCTGACACGGGGGGTGAGTCTTCCATGTCCGGAATGGCCTCCTGCCTGACGGCAGTCTTTTTACTTTCCTGATGCAGTCTCACTCTGGACTCCATCATCTAGGAGAAAAAATACAGCCTTAGAGGGCTTCCTCCTGCCATAGTGTGACATTTACTTCTGGGGAAGTCCAGCCGCTCATGCCTCTGGCAGCAACTCCCCAGCACTCACAGGTTTTGTCGGCCTCTCTTTCCATGTGGAAAGCTCTTTAGACACAAGTTCTTCTGGCTTCATTCTTACAAGTTTGGCCAAAGAGATTTCTTCACGCAGAACACGATGGAAGAGACCCTGTGAACAAACATCTTTCATTCACTGGTTCAAACAGTTGAGTGACTGTAATATCCAAGAAGAGGCTGGAGAAAAGCAGTAGGTGAAGTCCCTGCCCAGAGGCAGGTGACACAGGCCCAACCAGACACAGCGCAGCAGGGGTCTCAAGGTGTGCATCCCCCTAAGCGCCCAGAAAACATCGGCACTGGGGCCACAGAGCTGACCCAAGGCCCACGCTGCACCAACTGCTAAAGAGACCTCAGAGAAAAATTAGATCAACTCCAGAATGTGGTGTTAGGAATAAAGGTGAGAAGAGACCTCTTCTGCCAGGGTGTTAATAGGCAAGATGGGAAATCAGAACTTCCCATTCACCCTGCTTCTGGGCAAAGGTGGGGGTTCAAGAGGGTGAGAAGAGGCGGGCAATTATGAGCCCAGCGCAGGCAGCAGGGCCCACACCAGGCTGGCAGCCAGCCCACTCCAATCTGTGGGAAAACCACTTCCCACCCACGGCTGCTGTGAGCACTGAGTGCCCCCAGCCCAGGTGTGCACAGCACCTGTCCCAACAGTGTGCGCAGCAGAGTTAATCTAAGGAAACCCATGCGGACAGGCTCGTTCAGCTAATGGGGAATGACAGTAAGGCCAAAAAGGTTGTCCGAAACATCCCAAATATGGAGATACCCACATACTACCATAAAGGATTTGAACTTTTATTCTGGAGCCAATGAAATGATGAGAAAGCAATTTTACAGCGAGGTTTAGAAGAGACAAATCTGGAGAGCTAAAGACGGACTTCAGGGAGCCAGTGAGTTTCAGAGCTGCAGCTGAGGGAGGGAAGGAAGGACGGAAGCATCACTATTTTCCCCACACTGATAGCCAGAAGCAAAGGGAACAAAAATGCCAGTTAGCTTTAATCATGTGACACTCAGCTAGAGCCCAGAGCACGAGTGCCCTCTCAGCAGGAAGCCCAGCCCTGAACCACAGGCACACACCTGGTTCTTGGGGTCCTTGAGGTTGAACATGATGCTGCGGTATTTGCTCTTGTAGCGATTGTCAGTGACATGGAACAGGTTGAACATCTCTTTCTCGATGTGGAGAGCAACCTTCCCGACCTCATTCTCTGTCATCATGAGGTCATCGCTGTCACTGGCTCTGGAAGGGACAGAACTGTGTAAAGCTCTGCACTTGCATTTAGGCCTTCAACAGCAGAAATCCACTTTAACAGATAACCAAGCAGAACAGCCCACCTTTTCCACAAAATCTCCTTCAAGGAGCGCCTTATATTTTGCCGAATCTGTGAATTTGGCTGTGATGGGGCGGTGCCTGAAGTTCCCAGGCGTCCCGAGGCTGGAGAGGCCAAGGGGACAGAGGTCACCATGGGCTTCCTGGTGGTTCCCACTGAGGCAGTAGAGCCTGGCAGCTTTTTGGAAGCAGATGTGGTGGTACCAGGCACCAGCCCTGCCTGCTTAGTGGCGGGACCACTGCCCGAGGGAGCAGCTGAAGGCCATGGCCTCTTGGGTATGGTGCCCTTGAAGCCTGAGGGCAACTTCTTGATGGCCTGTTTAGCCACATTTGAGAAAGGAGGTGATTTCTTTGGAAGGAGATTCCGGGCTGAAGGCTGTCTGCTGCCCACGGCGGGGCCCAGAGCAGCCGCTTTCTTCGGCACTGCAGCCACTGTGTTCTCCACTTCCTGGTCCTCCTTCATGGCTGCAAAGGACACACAGCATTACTGAGGCAGGAGGGCATGTACGTGCGCCGTCGTGTGACGTGAAAAGCACACTCAGCCTCAAACTAGCGAAAGCTTACCAGGCCCCATTTGGGGTACTGGGAACACTAGGTAAAGTACATGATTGTGTAACCACTAAGCCGTACACCTGAAACCAATACAAAGAAAACATACCAGAAGAAGTATTTACCTTAAAACCATACTAAATATGAAAACTAAGGGGGGGGGGAGCTTACAGGGCCTTATTGTATGAGACATTAGGGAAAAGGGTTTTTAAAGTCATTATCAAATTCAGAAAAGGAGTGTAATTTAGGCCTTTGCCAATATTTATGATCATGACCAAAGCACTTTATTTCAGGAATAAATGCTTTACTGTATTATCACATTGAACCTGTTACTTCAACCAACAAACTCTAATCAAAAGTTTGACTGAAATCATTAGCTAAGCTTGAAAACAGAAGGGCAAATCTCACATCAAAAACAGGTTGATTCAGAAGAGCACTTTCACTAAGAATTCAAGTGCAATTTCTTTGTAAACATGACTTTAAAAAAATCTCTTCAGGATGGTCACAGAACCCTCCCAGCCCACAAGGACTAGCAAGAGGGGGGTCACCCACAGGTGTTCATCATTCTTTTGTACAAGTCAATGTGATGCTGTTAACACAGAAATTTAGCAGAAACCTGTAACATGAGGAAAACCAATCACTCTTATACTGAGGTGACAAGAACAGATTATGCTGATATAAACAAACATTCCGATTTACAACTGAGTTGTAGTCAATTTATGGTTAAGACCATAAATTAGCACTGTTAACCCAAACAGGAATTGTAAAAAGCTAAAATCATCATCAAAACCCTTCAACTTGTACAAAAATTTTGATAGTACTTTTTCTTTAAAAAGAGAGCATGGCAGCCCTGGCTGGTGTGGCTAAATGGTTAGAACACCAGCCTGCACACTGAAGGGTCTCCGGTTTTTCAGTCAAGCGCACATACACTTGGGTTGTGGGTTTGTTCCCCAGCCCCGTCAGGGCACAGGTGGAAGACAACCAGTTGATGTCTCTCTCTCACGCTGATGTATTTCTTTCTCTCTCCCC